TTTTAAGTATCTTCGAGCTGAACCTGAGGATCATTATTTTTTAATGGTGAGTGACAATCCAAGAGGAGCACATCCCTGCGAATTCCTAATTGTTGAGATTTTAAACTCGGGATCCTCTTCCCTGGGGTGCTTTTAATTCCTGCTAAAGCGGTTCCTATGACTCAGGTGCTTCTGGGACAGAGAACAGGAGGCTCAACAAAAATGCCCAAAACCGAAAGGGGCGGGGTGTCTCACTCTCCAGGGCGGCCGCCTCGGGTTCTGGGGCTCACACAGTGGCTCCCCCTGGCCTGGGTGCCAGCCAGCTCAGAGCGTCTGGTGTTCGTTCCCTTGGGCCCCAGGTGGCTGCCCAGGCCTCTGTCACCTCTTGATATATTTGCTTTCGGAGGAAGAAGCACTTAAGATTCCCAGAAACCTCCCTAGCAGATTGGCCCATGCCTGACTTGGTCACTGGCCAGCGGAGCTGCCGGCAGATTTAGTGGTGAACCTCACCCATGGGGCTGGGAGGGGCCATCTGATCACCTGGCCCGGAGGGTCAGCGCCTAAACCGGCCTCCAGCAGCAAGGGCGTGCAGGGAGGCACCAGCTTGGGAGGGACCCAGCCATGGGCTTCCATGCCCCTGAGGTCACTGCGTGACTCTGGATTTGCTTATTAGCAGAGGAAACAGATCAAGAAGTTATTTTGCCAGGGTTTCAGTCTTACTGCAGGTAAACTTGAGCTGAGTTACGGGCCCTGGTTATGCTGCGTAACCCTGTGCAGACCCAGTAAGCGTTACAGAGGGTGAGGACTGTGTCTCTGTTATGGGATCTGCTCTAATTGTTCTGCCCTTTACGATGCGTTTTCTTCGATCAAATGCTCTTTTTAAGTTAGAATTAATCGTACGGACAAAACGCTTGCTTCGTAGAGAGCAACTGCCTGTAACATAAGCTGCGTATTAAAACCTACACAAGTGAGTTCTGGATTTTTTTCACACAAACACACTGTGAAATGGTCCCCGCCACATCCAATTGCATAATTCTTTCTAATGCTAAGTACGGAGTATTCTTTAAAATTATCTGGAGTAAACTATGTTATCCACAAGGCTGTCGTGATGGTGGAATCTACATGTTTCATATCTATTAAAGCAAGTCCTTGACAGCGCTCTGGTCTTTTTTCCTGCCTGTATCTTCACAAGTAGGAATCGCCAAGTATGAGTACTGTGTGTTACAGAGCGCTGTGTATCCTGTGCATCGACAGTGGTTTATGTAAAATAATGGAGCCAGGGAACCGACAGTGTGTCTGAGTGGCTTTGTCTTTGTAGCCAAAACAAAGCACAGATTCCCACCTGTCACACTTGGCCTTTTTCCTTCTCCCGCACACACGTAACTACCTGTTGGGTAGGATTTGGGAGCAGGCGCCATCCCCAGCTGCGTGCTGCTTTCTGCTTCAGCTTTCTGTGCCCGGAGTTCTTTCTCTTGCTCCACTTGGAGGGACGCCAGGACTCGGGCCTGTGGAGCAAGCGCACACCGCCAGGACCCAGCCCACAGGAAATTTTTCCTAAAATTTTTTTTCCTGATTTAGCTGGCATATATAATCTAGTTAGATGAAACCACTTGCCAGGAATGAATTGGAAGTGTTTGGTGTGAATATGGAAAAGCTAAAGTCCGTTTGCCAAAAACGAGTATCTGCAATGAATGTTCAAAAAGAATCAAGTTTATTAAGGCAAAGATAAGGAGATATTGTTTTATATATCGTGCTTTGATTTCCGCAAGCCCGTTCTTTCTGCGGTGTGATTGAGGAAGGGATGAAGTGGGAAATTCTTCCGGGTTTCTGCCCTTAATCATCACTTACTGGAAAGGGCAGAGGAGTGACGCAGGTGCGGGTTCACGGCCCAGTCGTGGACGTTAGCTGGAGATGTCGCTGGACTGCACACAGACAGGGGCTTCTCGGTGCAGAGTCTGCGAGTCGTGGATTCTACGCCCCTCAGTGGCTCGCAGTGTTCTTTCTGACCGCTGCGACCAGACGTCTGAACATGCAGGGTGCATGCAGCGAGCTCGTTACAGCTCATGTTTTTCGAGACGTTTCAGAGACTCGGCGCACACTGTTCGTGAGGACCGAGTAGGTGGCAGGTGGGACCCCACGCTTCTCCAGGACGGCACTGCCCATGGGACAGAGTCGGTGATTTAGAAGTTCCACTCTTCAGTGGAAAATGAGTTATGACGTCAAGAGAGATTTGTTAACTTTTTGAGTGTAAATCAAGCAAGAAAGAGCAAACAGCACGTGCTGCTCAAGAAGGCCCAATAACTAGGACCTTTGATGTCCAGGAGCAAGAAAGGGACGTCCGAGCTCCAGGGGCGGGGGGAGAGGGAGAGATCAGGAGGGAGGGGAGAGAGCCAGAGGCAGAGAGGGAGGACGAGGGCGAACGCCCCTCCCTTCATTGTTTGGTTCCATTCGGGTTCAGTGGATTGGGTGACCTGTCTGCGTCGGTGAGGGCACAGCTCTTTTCTCCGGCTGCTCAATGCTCATCTCTCCAGAACAGCCTCCCAGACTCATCAGGTGCAGTGTTTGCCAGTAAGGTGGCCGTCCCTTGGCACGCAGTGAGCCTCGCGTGTGGGATGCCGGGACTTGCTGCGATGGTGCCCTTCCCGGTTCTCGCAGATGAGCGGGGCCTGCGCTCTCCGGCGTGGCGGCCTCCAGCCAGTGCGGGCGTCGGCTTCCTTGGGTTTGCTCCGCTGCTTCTGGCCCCTGTGCTTTCCAGCTTCCAGTGCGTGGTCGCTCCTCCCCTGTCCTCCCTTCCGTGAGGACTTAGGTTTTTAAAAAGGTTTCTTTACTGTAGTTAGAGAGGGGGGTGGGGTGGGGCAATATTAGGTACATGTGTTCAGTTTACTTTCTTTATCCCGAAATATGGATCAGTTTTTATGGTACTGCTTAATTATTCATTGCTGAATCAATACCAGATGATATTTTACCATTGTTACGAATAAAAATGTTTACATAGCTTGTATTTATGTGATGTTTTAATCATATGCTTTAGTATAAAAAAAATAAAACTCGATACCTCCAATTTAGAGCCTGTTATAAATAATGGCTTGGGAAACTGTTATTTAAATTGGTCTCCTAAAGGAACAATTACTGGTAGTAAACATAGAAGAAATGGAGGGTTGAGGAAGAAATGGATTTATGATTATGGTTCTCAGACCCATCGGGATATGCTCTTAATAATGCTGAATCTGATGCAAGAACCAGAACTTAATTATATTATAAACGCTCCTTAAAGGGAAGTGTGTAGGTTTTAATGTAAATCCTTCACAGATGGTGAATTGTTTGGTTGCAAGTAATAGAAGTGTAAAAACGGTAGTTTAAACTCAGGGGATTTATTGTTCTTAAATAAATGTATAGGAAGGGGGCCAGTGCGGATGTGGCAGCTCCCCAGCGTCATTGGGGATCTCCGTGCCCTGCTGTCCTCAGCACAGGCTTTCACCCTAAGAATGCCTCATGGTCACAAGTTGGCTACTGCAGCTCCAGTCTTCATCTGTGTGTTCCAGGAAAGAAGACGGGGTGAAGGGCAGAAGGGAGTCACTTGTATTCGCTGATGATTTTAGTACTGATAACTCACTTTCATCGAGTTTTCCACATGCCGGGGGCTGCTGTGAGCACTTAGACCCCTCACGTCTTTCCGGCTCTATGAGATAGGTGCTAAGCACGCAGGGAGAGAGGAAATTACTTCCACATTTAGGAAAGTGGAATGCCAGGGCTTGGCCCGACGGACGCGACTTTGCGCTCGTCTTAACCGTGCTGGTATGGCATGCTGCTGTGTGACAGATCGGTTTGGTCTTAGGTCAGCTGTTCCACTTTGTTATGCTTTTTGTTTTTAGCATGTTTTATTTATGTATTAATTTTTTAAAACAGATTTGGTTTTCTCTTTCTATTAGGTGTGTGTTCTTCCTAGTAATTTTTTTTCACATAGTTTACTGTAACTATAATTTTATATATTTACCCTGCATTTGTTTAGGGGTGATTAACTCCTTCCTGCTGTGATTTGTGACTCGGTTGGCACGTGTGCACATTTTCTTACCTTTTCTGCCACTTGCTTTTGATTAGCAATGTTACTAAACTTATTCTAATATTACTATTTATCGCTTTGTGTATAGTAATGTCTCCGATGCTGTCTCAGTTTAGAGCAGTATCTTGATCCCATCACAAGAGGATATCAGTGTGTTTATATTTTCTCTGTCTACATATCAACTTGATATTATTTCTGCTGGTTCAATTTATGACATTTACATCCTGGTCTGTGAATATGATTCCCAGAAAAGAAAAACCTTTTATCTTACATCTTAAATGGATTCATTGCTCACCGTAATTCTTTGGCTATACTTTCTGCATTCTTATTTGGCTAAAATTTATCTTCTAATTGTTAATTCATGCAGAGTTCACGGGCACCAAATTCTCCAGGTTCTCGTATGTTTAGATATACTTTGTTTTCGCAACATACTTGATTGACAGTGAGGCCAGATGTGGACCGCTTGGGTCCTGCCCTCTCACTTTAAGACTGAGTGTGGCCCGCGCGCGGGTGGTAGAGGAGGCGAGCTGGCGGCGGCGTGGCGGGGGGCCTGAGCAGCAGGCGAGTTTCCTGGGCTCTGGAGGCCCCGGGTCGGAGACGAAGGTGCGGGCAGGGTTGGGGTCCGCAGAGGCCTCTGCCCTGGGCTTGCCCCGCCCCCGCCGGTGGCCGTCCGTCTCGCAGACTGCGTGTGGCCTCCTTTCCTGCGCGGACAGCGGTCCTGTTGGTCAGGCCCACCCTTGAGACCCTGGGCAGGCAGCCCCGCTTGACGGCCCGTCTCCACGTGCGCTCACACTTGGGGCGGGGGAGCAGGGCGTTTTTTTAGTTCTTGGGGGCACAGTTCAGTCCACAGCAAAGGTAATGTGCACATTTCCTGGATAAGGCCCGCAGGGTTTTTATTTATTCTGTTTTTCTTTTGCAGCTTTAAATATGTGCGGTTTAGCCATACTTACTGACATGGAAAAATGCACAACATATTGCTGAGTGACAAAAAACAGGTTTATTTATTCTTTTTATCTTTCTTTAATTCTGTCATTTCATCCTATCTGATAATGGTTATTGTCATTAAATAGATAATTGAATTTTTTGAAATGTCTTCATGATTTTCAGCTGCTTCGTTTTTATATTTTTCTGGGTATGAGTCTTTTGTCTGCCATTGGTTTTTCCCATTACTTTTCTCTCTTCTTCTCTTTTTCTTTTCTTTTTTTCCAGTATGGTCTTTGGCTGTTTCTTTGAGCTCTTTCCTCATCTCTGAATGAGGAGCATTCTTCCTGGACTAGCTGTGTGCGTGAGTTTAGGCCGGGGTGGCGGGGGCAGGGCAGTGTCTGGGGGAAGCTGCTTCTGCCCTGGGGTTTTCTGCCTTGCAGCTGATGGCGGCGATGTTTGTCGGACCTTGTTTTCTGTACTCTAGTGGCAGGTGGGGTTTGGGGAAGCTTCTGCTCAAACTTAGAGTTTCTCGCTCCACACAAGGGCTCATCGATCGCCTTTGCTCCTCTTTGGAGAGCTCTGTTGTCTCCCCGGGATCTGAGGTCACTGGTGCTGTCTTGGCGCCTTTACTCACCTCGGTCGAGTTTCTGTTGCCCCTGGCAACTTGCTGCAGGTCTGTGTCAGTTTCAGGTGTTCAAGTGTTATGTTATCAAAGATGGAGTTTCCCCTTCTGTAACTTCGTTCTTGTTTTGGGGTGGTTGCTAAGAGAGGGGTGTTTAGGGAGGTCTCTCCCATCTTACAGCTTTTCAGACCCTCAGCCAGATTTCTTTAATTACTCACTCTGGGTCTACTCTGTAAAATCAGGGAGCTGTACACAGGCCTAATTAATGTGCTTTCCGATTCACTTTTTCATGGTTCTGATGGGATCACACGAAGCTCGGGCGAACGCTAATGTGGTGACTTTTCTTACAGACAGAACCTCCGCTGAATACACCGGAAAACAGAGAGTATCTTGCAGAAATTATGTTTGAGTCGTTTAACGTGCCGGGGCTCTACATCGCAGTCCAGGTAAAAACAGCTGCTGTCTGGTTCCCAGACGCCGTAGCTGCCTGACAGGGAAGGAGTGGTCCAAAGACGTGTAGGTGTAGATCGTGTCGTGTGCGCTTCCTCTTCAGAATACACGTGTGCGTGCGCACACACACACACGTGCCCCTAGCCCACTCATCCAGACCAGGCTCTCCAAGCTCAGTTCTTTGGGGCGGGGCTGTTCTGTGCATTGTAGATGTTTAGCAGCGTCTCTGGTCTCTACCCACTAGAAAAAGCAGCACCTCCAGCCTCCCCTCTCCCAAGTGTGATAATAAAAATGGGATCAGACAGTCCCCAATGTCCCCTTGGGGATGAAATTGCCCATGGTTGAGAGTGTCCTAGCCCTACCAGCACAGAGTTTCTGAGTGTGAGGCCTAGTAATCTGTCTTAAAAACTCAAGTGAGCTCATCGCAGCCCGACCGTGGACCCACACTGGGAGCCAGTGGATTAGAAATCAGTGTTCTCATCCCATAGTAAAGCCCCTGTCTCACTGGCTTGTCTTTGCGAAAAATTGACTTATTTTATTGAGAACTGGACTCCTCCAGGTTCAGTGTGCAGAATCTGCATGTTGGCTGCAGGTTCAGTGTGCAGAATCTGCATGTCGGCTGCAGGTTCAGTGTGCAGAATCTGCATGTTGGCTGTCCAGGTTGGAATTTGAGTTTGGGGAGAGAAGATGAAGGAGAAGGGGAGGGGTTGCTCAGACTCACTGAGCGAGGAGGACCGTATGGGCTGAGTCTGAGGATGGGCTGCAGAACACGTCAGGACCATTTCCCCGGGCTCGTGGTGTCCGTGTCTCTTGTCCAGGCGGTGCTGGCCTTAGCAGCGTCTTGGACGTCTCGGCAAGTTGGCGAACGCACGTTAACAGGGACCGTCATCGACAGCGGGGACGGGGTCACCCACGCAATCCCAGTGGTAAGCAGACTACTCACCGCTTCATTCTGTAGGGCACCCCTGATTCAAGGTAAGGGAAGAAATGAAAAGAGAAAGCCCTTCTAGAAAGTCGCACTTTTAACGTCATAGCTGTGCATAGAAAAGGTAACGAGTTTTCAAACTAGGTACGTGAGAAAAAAAGAAGCCCAGCATCTGGGAGGGTTTACATTCGCAGGGGCAGCTTTAAACTGCTCCTGGAAAGGCAGCAGTTGTGTGGGGTCTCCCCGGCTCTGCTTGATCTGTCCCCAGGGGGCCTCTCCTGGATCAGGACCTGAGTGGTGGGGATGGACTCAACCAGGAGATTCGATTCACAGGTGTGGTGTACGACCACTTGAAGGGTTAGCTCTGTTTCCCGACAAGGTGCGGATGGCTTTAACCAGCTCACACTTGAGAGAAAATGCTTCTGGTTTTTAGAAATTTATTTTAAGGGCCAAGAAGGAGAGATTGATTATATATTTTGACTTGCAGAGTGCTCTGCAATGTCACTTTTTGGTTTTAAATTTCAAAATATTAGAGAAGTGATTTCTAATTTGGGCTTTAAGAGACAGCTTATTCCTTCCTTCCTTCCCTCCCTGCCTCCCTCCCTGCCTCCCTCCCTTCCTCTTTGTCTCTCTCTCATGAATTGTTTAAAATTGGTGTTTTGAAAATCAGTGGAACCGGCCCAGGCCCACCGTGGGGCATGCAGTGGAAGATGGGTCTTGCTCTCTTGCTGGTCACATACGCACATCACAAGCCCTTTTCTGCATATACAGGGCCCGTGGATGTATAGCTTTTTAAAATGCAAACTAGGGTTTTTTAAAACTATTTATTTCCTTAAACTGAAGAGATAGTCACTGTTTCATTTCAGGAAGTCAAAGGAATGCTGTACTAATGTGCTGTGCTGATGCTTTTAATCCTTAAAGGTCAGGATCTCTGGAGGGAAGGATTAGTGGTTGGTGTGTCACCAGTGAGGAAGGAAAAAGCCAGGTGCCTCCAGCCCCCTCCTGTGCCCCTGTCAGGGTGCCCTTTACAAGGGGACAGGAGGGACAGGGCCGGGTGGAAGGTGCTCTGCACGGTGTGCTCTGTGCTGGGAGCTCCTTCAAGCCAGTCCCAGACACTCATTTTGTGGATCACTGAGACAGGTCAGTGCCACTTGATGCGTAATACCAACTGGTGTCTGTGTTCTCCCTGAGGTCACCCCACCAAGGATCTGTGCAGACAGGGGCCCGAGGAGGGGCTGTGGGCCCTGCTTCCTTCCGTCCTGGCTGATGGAGGAGAAGGGAAAACAAGTTTCACGTGGCGTACTGGCCCGCGGAGCAAGTTGTTTTAAAATTTTTGTTTGTATCTTAGTTCAGTTTTTTTCCGTTTATAAAAATGACATTTGTACAAAGTTTGGATAAAATAGAGAAATGTGAAGAAGAAAATAAAATGACTCATAAACTCACCCAGAGAAGCACATCATATTTTGGTTGTACGGCCTTCCAAGCTCGTCCCTTAGGTGCACACGTGTTCACACTTTAAGCAAAACCGGAACATCCTATGTCTGGTTCTGCATTCTAATTGTATAGTATAATCCTAAAGTTATATTTTGCATAATGATAAATCCCTAATGTTTTTTTTGTATGGTGAACTATTCTGTGAAAAAATGTTTAGTAACCGCGTAGTGGCCCGTCATGCGGGTGTAGCATCATTCACCTATTTATTTTACTGTCGGGCCTGCAGGTGGTTTTCATGTTTCTAATGCTGTGGTGAATCTGATACGGATTTAACACCGGTTGAATTAATTTTAGAGAGTGATGCATAGAGTGTGGTAATTGTGAGTAGTTTGTTAGACAGCTAGTGCTGTGACTTTAAGTGGATCTTTACTATCTTAATTTGCACATATCTTTTATCTCCAACTTAAAGTATTTTACAAATAACTCGGACTCTGTGGAAAGGGCTGATCTGCTCTCACCTCCAGAAGCTGGGTACAACAGAAGGAAACGTGGGAGGGACTCGGTAGCTTGTCCTGGAGATTTAACTGGTGACAGTAGCTGGTAGTCGTAACCGTGAGAACGGATCCAGCTGTAAGTGGAAGCCAGCGGTCCGCGCCCTCTGTCCCACGTGGCTGTGATATGGGACCTGGAGTCTCCTCTTTATTGGCTGGAACTGGCAGGGCATCACCCGCCTCGACCGTCGGTGCCCATAGAGCAGGCTGGGGTGTGCCGACACCCGTGGCCGGTCGTGCCCGCAGGAAGGTTGATGAGGGGCCGGGGCCGAGCTGTGGGGCGTGAGCTCTTGGCCCCTTTCTTGGCACCGGCAGACGTGCTTCAGTGGCTCAGGAAGGCGGCTGAGCGACAGTATCCGACCTCCTGCCCACGCTGGGCTCCGAGGGCAGAGAGTCCAGGCCAGCTTATCCATTGTCTCTTACACGTGCAACTCTCAGGACAGCAGACGGGCCCCCTCACGGAGAGCTTAGATGCCCAGCCGCGCTGTGTGCTGCACTGGTCATGGGGCGTCAGCTCAGTCCTGAGCCCCATGGCTGTTACTCGCCCCCGTAGTGGACAGAGGTGCCAGGGTGAAAGATGCTCACACACTCGCCACGGTCCCTCGGCCGGCAAGTGGGTTTGAGTCCAGGTCAGGCTCCGAGTCCTGCGAACTGCACCAAATGGCTACTTTTTTTTTTTTTTTAACGCCGACAGCACCTGGTATTCATAGGTGGCCTCCCATCCCAGGCCCGACCCAAATGGCTTTATAAATATAAGCAGGTTGATCTGTACTTGGCTTAACAGTTTATAGACAGGACTTGCTTCTTCTTGGGAAGGAATGAAGGACAGCATCACAGCATCACATCATCTGCCCTGACACAGCATCTCTGGGAATGAGCCGGCTGGTTTTCTCTTCACCTTCCTGAAGGAAGCTCTGCTCTGGGTCACGGTGGCGCCGTAGTGGGTTGTCTTAGGTGGGGTGGGTTCCCCGAGTGCTGCTCTTCATGCCTGGAGGCTGGGCCACCCCCAGGCCCCTTACCGGCCTCCTGCGCCCGTCCTCGCAGGCAGAAGGCTACGTCATCGGAAGCTGCATCAAGCACATCCCGATCGCAGGGAGAGACATCACCTACTTCATCCAGCAGCTGCTGAGGGACCGGGAGGTGGGAGTCCCTCCTGAGCAGTCCCTGGAGACTGCAAAAGCCGTTAAGGTAAAACCCGACGGGAAAGGGGCCGGTTTGGAGGTGGTGGGGGGAGGGAGAGACGGTATCTGGACACTTCCCCTTGCTGCCAACACGCCCGCTCCCGCCTTCCTCCCTCTCCCTGAGAATGGGGGTCTCTGTCTGCTTCCCACTTGAGTAAGGGGCTGACAGACTGACAGCCGCCTCCTCGGGCCCTCACCTGCAGAGCTCCCCGCTGCGAACGGAAGCATTTTGTTGGAGCCTAACTAGAGAGAGCTTTCAGTGAACTGAGCGTGTCCTCTGCGTGCTTCCCGTCTAGGACAAGGAGCTGAGAGCAGCGGCAGTGGCGTTAGGTATCCGTGACGTCAGCACTCAGACACGGTGCCGGCACCTGTCGTGTGTGCTTTGTACCCCGAGAACTACAGCTCAGAGGCGTCTGTGCCAGGACCTGGACCATGAAACAAAACCCGCCTGTGTTTGCTAGAAAAGTCACAGGGCGTTTTACAATTAAATCATTGGATTAGAATTAAAAATGGCTTATTGGTCTTTATTTAAATGTCCACTTGGTCTGATCCATCAGTTTGGTTTTCGTGTGACTAGGTACACAGAAGTTGACAGACACTTTTTAGAGGAAGTTGCCAGGTTGCAGAAGCAGGGTGACTTTTCTTAGAATGCAGGAGACCCCGAGGGATGCAAGGGTAAGTTCTGCGCAGGACAGAGAAGGGTTTGTCTGGGGAGAATTTCAGTGCGGGGTGTGACCTGTGAGCTTGAGCATCTCCTTTTTCACGGGACAGTCAGTTTTGAGCAGCAGAGGAAGTAGGGGGAGGTGACCCTAACGTCCCCCCACGCCCTCCTCCCGGCCAACTGCCCAGTGACTGCGGCTGCAGGAGGGGCGCAGCACAGGTGACTCCCGGGTTCGCATGGCGCTCTTGGTGAACACAGGTATTCTCAGGACGGCTCCTGCGACGCGAGCCGGTGGCCGGCTGCCCACGGTGCCGACTGCAGCCCCCGGGATGGGCTCGCCCAGTGGTGACTGCTGCGCCCCGGGCAGACCCGCGGAGCGCGCAGAGGTATCAGGAGACTTCTCTTCAGAGCGAGCGCTCCCCAGGATCTCCCCGCTTCCTTCCTGTGCCTGCAATGCCACGCCCAGTCTGTGAGAAGTGGGGCCCGGAGTGACCTCTTGTCCTCGCTGCCCAGGGCTCCGGTGGACGAGTGCCGTGACCCCTCTTCAGTGATGGTTCCCGGGCGTAGTGACCCGCCGCCAGGCTGCTCTCTGGTCCTCATGGCGCATTCGCCTCGCTCGCTGGCTGTCTGGGCCGTGGTTCGGGCCCTGCCGTGGGAGCCGGCCCGTCCAGGGCGTGCTGGGGGGCAGCAGAGGCACCTCGTGTGCTCCCCAGACCGGCCACCCTGCTGGTAGTACCGGCCCCACTGGTTCCGGTGAGGGCAGGGATCCCGCGGAGAGCGATGTGGCCTCCCCTGCACCGCGTTGCTGCCGTGGCTGTGTGCTCTGGCGGGCCTGGGGCAGTGCGGGCCGCGGCCCACAGCACCCTCGCAGCCCGAGCCAGCACCGAGGCCGCTGCCGCTGCTCTCCACCGCCTCGCCCAGGCCTTTGGCGCCATCGCCGAAGCTGGCCGGCGTGCCGCGAGACCGACCAGGCCTCTAGGGACAGCTTAGCGTTCCGTCTGCAGCCTGGGAGATTCTGAGTCCAGCCCACCCCCTGTGTCACACGTCTGCCCAGCACTCATAGCCTTGCTCGATGACATTGAGGGCGATCAGATGTGTCCAGGGATGCTAGGAAACTAAGCTTCATATCATGAAAACGCCTTCAGAGGTCCTTGAGTGAGCACGAGCTGCCTGCCCTCCTTGCCAGGGGCCCACGTATGCAAGGAGCGGGCCTGACCGAGCAGCCGAGGCCACCGCGGGGTCGCCGCGGCCATTCAGAGCCAGTGCGGCTGGCGTTCTGAGTGGAGGGTGACGGGCCCTCGTGTGCTCGGTTGTGAGTCAGCCTGGCTGCTTGGTGGGTCTTGCTCCGTGTGTATAGGGCACCCCCTCCACCCCTAGTGCCCGCAGGAAGCTTACATTCCGAGCTGGCACTCAAGGCCACCTGCCGCTTTGCTGAGATTACTCTCAGGACAGATAATCGACCCAGAGGTCCCCACCAGGCATCCCCGGGTGCAGAGGGAGCACTTCGTGTACATCAGGCCGGTCGTGGTGCCAAGGCGAACACATCAGCAAGCCTCGTCCTCCCTGCGTGTGCTTTTCCTTTTTTCCGTGACTCCTGCCACCTTGTAATGTGCCATACCATCTGCGTGTTTATCGTGGACTCTCACCCAGAGCGTGGGAGCCAGCGGGCGGGGGTCTGTGTGTGTTTTGTTCACTGTGGAGCTGGCGATGGTGCCGTCAGACTGCGCGGGGCTCAGGACCAGCGATGGGCGGGGGTGGCGTCGGGATGTCGTCTCCTGCATTCAGGGTTGGGCTGCAGTGCAGGTCTGCTGGTCCTGAGCTGGACAGCAGTGAGTTCAGGGGGCGGAAGAAGGAAAGAGATGGAGACGAGATACTTAGTAGACACCTTGAAGCATTTCGGATGACACGGCAACAAGTTTGATGCAGTCAGACTGCGGTCAGCAGCTGAATTGCAAAGAAAGCAGATTTATGCATCCAAATCCAAGTGCGGCCGTGGGAGACGGCAGAATGGGGGGCCCGACAGCCCACCCACACGGGCTGAGGCGGGGGGCAGGGCTCATCGCGGGCTGTGCCTAACGGCTCTACCTAATGCTTGGGGCTGCTGGCTGCTTGTCACGGGGACGAGGCTCTGGGCATTTGTTAATGCCCGGCGTCTTCGTGTGTGTGTGCAGGAGAAATACTGTTACATTTGTCCTGACATAGTCAAGGAGTTTGCCAAGTATGACGTGGATCCCCGGAAGTGGATCAAGCAGTACACGGGGATCAACGCAATCAACCAGAAGAAGTTCGTTATAGACGTCGGCTACGAAAGGTTCCTAGGACCTGAGATTTTCTTTCACCCAGAGGTGAGTGTGTTGAAATACGGCATGCATGGAGCAATACTGCCACCTTGCGATCACTTCTCAGTGACCGTCACTGAGCAAGTCGGCCGCCGTCAAGTGGGCACATGGCATAGACAGTTACGGCCCCCTGTGCGGTTTGTCTGCTTGATTGTTTCTCTTTACCTCTCCAAGACTTGATTACCTGAGTAGTTAACAACTGAAGACACCAGAGTGCTGAGGGAGAAGGTATAAGAGCTATAGGGGGTAATGGCTTGAAATTGACCTCACACTAACGTGAAAACTAAGCTCGGGACCAAGTGCACGTGGCTTCTGTACACGAGTGGGATGACATACGTTTCCGTCCTTGGTGACATCCTCCCTGACCCCAGTTTGTAATACATGGCCCTTGCTGCCCTCTAGTTGAAGCATCTGTCTGAAGACTAACCTTTCCATTAGTTAGCTGGTCTGTAAGAAAACACAGCTATCATCATTTTAACTGGCAGTCACAAATAATTATTACTTTTGTAGAAGCAGTAATAGGCAACAGTTTAAGGTTTAAATGCAATTTATTTATAGTTTGGTATATTTTCCTGCCTAATTCAGTTTATATTCAATAGGTAGGTTGCAAAATGCTGCCTATTTTTAGATGTGTGTATAACTATTTTGTACAGGGAAATAGCACACAATGTGTGTTAATATGATGTAAAATATACTCATTCACACACGTCTTTGATATTGATTTGAAATAGACATAAAACTGACCATGTCCGGTGAGCAGCTGGATGTCACCTTCTTTCTCTCTTGACTTACTATACATTAATGTTTCTCTTGATTTTAAAAACATTTCAATGTAATATAATTGAATTATTTATTCTTTAGCTTATTTATTCGGACAATTGAACCTAAGTCTGTTTACTCAGTAACATGAAGGATATCGTGTTGATAGTTTCATTTTAAAGCCACTATGCAGTGATCTTTCATTGACTATGATTGTTTTTTAAATATCTGGCTAATATTTTTTATAATACTAGTATTCGTAAGTGATATGCTCATCATACATTCATAGTGTTTCTCATTACGCATCACCTACATCACGTCCATGCTTTTTACAATCTCTTATTGGCATGATTCATTGTGTGTTTGTAACAGGGCTGGTCTGCCCTTGTTACTGTTCGATGTTTTCTGCTCACTGAACCCACACATTTCATCTCTCGAGCGGACGGTGTGTTTGTAACAGGGCTGGTCTGCCCTTGTTACTACTGTTCGATGTTTTCTGCTCACTGAACCCACACGTTTCATCTCTCGAGCGGACACATGTCATCATCGCTCCATGCACATCGTCACATGGGATTCATTTGACATATTCATTCCCACGTGAAGTTTTTAAAGGTGTAGCAGATTCTAGATTTGTCAGTTACTTTAGAAAAAGTTCTTGTTTTGTCTCATTGAGAGAAACGTGCAGTGTTTCTTTTCCGTTCATGTGAAATCTAGTTTGCTAACCCGGATTTCATGGAGTCCATCTCGGACGTCGTCGACGAGGTGATACAGAACTGCCCCATCGACGTGCGTCGCCCGCTGTACAAGGTACGAGCCGCCCAAGCGAGGCGCCTCAGCCTCGGCCCACCGTCACGGCCACCAGCACCTCACGCAGATGTGCCCGCCCCGCCTCCTGTCACGGGGCTCGTCGAAGGCCTGTGTCATGGCAGAGTGTTTTCCTTGGAGTGGGGATGACTTAAAGGTTTGGGACTATGACTCAGTTAACTAGACGTATTTAACTTGCGTATTCGAGGATCTCTTATTCTTATCTGACAAACTGTGTTTTGAATCGGACAGTCTTAACTATGCATGGCGACCGAGAGGTAAAAATGGTACTTCGTCCCGCGCTCTCGTGAACTCCACTGGTCTCGTTTGGTGCACGTTTAGGGTCAATTGCCAGTGTGGTGTTGCCGGAAAGACGTTAGAGCCTGCAACAATAGAAAATGCTCGTGGAACATTTTTTTGGAGATTCTTTGATTGCAGGGAATTTTCAAACTTGAATCGAGGAGAAGCTGGTCCGTGTAATTACAGGTGAAGGGAAGTATCGCTGGTAGGCAGATGCTGAGAGTAGAAAGTGAGGGCGAGTTAGCCCCGCTTCGTCTGTACTCTGCGGGCGCGGTCACCCCGCCAGCCCCGGCCTCCTCCCTGACTCATGCCCGGGCAGCTGCGTCGGACCGAGGGGCGAACCGGGCTCAGTGAGAGGCCTCGTTTCATATGTACGATGGGACGCTGCGCAGCCTTTACAAGAGTGAGACAGATCCGTCTAGACGCAAATGAAAAGATGTCTGCAGCCTGTACTGTCAAGTGCCAGCACGTCGTCAAGTTTACACGGCGTTGCTTCATTTTGTGTGAAAACAGCGCACGTGTGTATATTCACGAAAAAGTTTCGAACGACATGTGCTACACGTAAAGGATCTTTGGGGCTTGGAGACGGATAACTTTTGTATTCTATTTTTTGTTTTAAAATAGTTTAAAGTTTTATAGTTAAAAAGTGTTATTTTTCTTATCAGAAAAAGTATTCTCATGTAGACAGCTTTTTATGGGTGAACACAGATGATAATTCTGTTTTTATTTACTGCATATCCGTAATTAAATACCTCTCTCTTCCAATAAAATCCGCAAGAAAAGGAAACCAGAGACGGATTGGAGCGTTCATTCAGGACAGTGGCGCGTCTCCTCTCCCGGCCGCTTCAGCCTCGCTGGACGGTGGCCCTGTCTCGGCCGCGAGGACACAGGGCGAGGCGCACGGGACGCGAAACTCCGGCCAGCGGGCAGGGACGGCTCACGGTGGGCCTTGTTCTCACCCGACACGTCGTTCACTCTCAATGGGTTTATGGGATTCTTGAAGTGGAGCTGGCCTTGGACATAGTGGTGACTGGGCCCTTTATCTAACAGACGACACAGCCCCTGAGGTGGAGAGAGGAGGCAAAACGGGGTTCCGGGTGAAATGCAGCAAACTGGCCTTAGACTTTTTTGGGGGTCCTGCTTGTCCAGGTCACTTGTCCAGGATCCCCTGGAAGAGTCGGCCTCTTGTCTCCCGCCGGGTAGGGCGTCCGCTCCTTCCTGTTTGACTAGTAATTCCACTGTGACGTCGTCGTCAGTGTTGGAATTATGATGTTATGAATAACACTGTGCTAAGTGTGAAGTCAAAACAAAGCAATATGCACGGCCCCTGCCCTCGAGAGAGCTCTATGAAATGGTAAGACAGGGCAGGCACGTGAGAACGACGCGCAGCACGGGCCACACGCGCACGTGCGTGCAGCTGTGGTGTCGGCGTGCGGCGAGAGTGAGCGAGGCTGCGTTCGTGTGCTGGCCGTCACCTGCTGCCCTGTGTTTGGAGGGGCCGTCTCGGGCGCTGGTGAGGTGAACGCAGCAGGTCCCTGTGAGTCGCTGGCCGAGGACGGGAGAGCGGGATCCGGGGCGGAGAAGCGGCAAGGAAGGTGCGGGCGGCTGAGGTCACCCAGCGCGGCTCAGCCCACAGGCACGGGGCGCCCGGCGTCGTTCAAGTCCAGCGTCTCTGTCAACCCTGTACTTAGGAAGTTGGGGAAAATGACTGACTTTCTACATGTAATATTTTTAAATGATAAGAAATTTAAAATTTGCTTTTTTGTGTGGTTAAATGCTCTGCAGGTGTTTTATTATTGTTGTTCAGAAACAATCTTGAGCTTCTCCAATTGTGATCAGATTCTATTTGAAGAAACCATGTTTCCGCAGGCTTTTACAAGCTCACTTATTAACCTATTTCCCGTTTAGAAAAAAAAGTGCCGTTCGCGGCCAGCGTTCATTTAATTTTCCATAAACACGCTCTTTGAGGCTGAAGCGAATCTGACTGGTGTTCAGTGTGAAAATAAAATATAAAAACCATCCTTGGGGTTATTTCTAAACAGAACTTGTCTGTCTTCCTGATGAAACAGAGAGGTGCACATAAACCGATGCGCCAGATGCATCGTCAGTGACGACTGTTCGAGAACGATGTTCACGTCACGCATAGGGAGGCCACGTTTTCTAGGATGTCACGTTTTCAGCGACCGAGAATTACTGTGTTTTGTAAATGGGATCGCCAGTGCTAAAAACAGAATGCGATAAATAGAATGACGTCGTCTGTTCCCAAAGACCATCGATACACCGGAGCGATGCGAACATAATGGTGAAAGCGAGGTGTTCCGTGGCAGACTTTGGGGTGAGGTCGGGCTGTGATCCGCGAGTTATCTCGGGGTGAACGCCGAGGCCACACGTGCCGCTCGCGAGTATTCTCAGGGCAAATAGGTGCAGTTTATTTGGGGAGTGTTTATATGTGTGCAGACTGGCCTGAACTCCTTCCTCACAGCCATCTCGGAGGGAGGTGGCCCGAGGCACCTGCCCGCCGGCACCGCTGTCTGCTGAGGCCGTTACCGCAGGGACTTGGATGGGCACTTAGAACGCACACGTCACTTCATCCTCCCACATGTCTGTCGAGGCTGATAACCTCCTCCTTTGCAGATCGGAAAACTGAGTGTCAGCAGGTTGAGAGCTACGTGAAGTCACGTGGCCGCTCAGTGAGGTTTCGAGGGCTTTCTCCACGTCTGTGAACCCTCACGCCTGGCAGGTATTTAAACTGAGGAAAGGCGAAGACTCCAGAGAGGGGGCCCTGTCCTGACCGCCTCCCCAGGCGGCAGCCTTCCCTGTGGTCTGGAAGGGTCCGGCGTGGCCCACCCGGTCGTCCGCTGCGTGGGCCGGGCCGTGCGCGTTCCTGCGGGAGGAGCCTCTGCAGCCTCGCACGTGGTCCAGCATTTAGGGGGTCACCGGAGGAGGCCTGGACGTGGGGAGCTGGCCATGCTTTCCTCTGTCGTGCAGCTAGGCTCTTCCCTGTGGATGGAGGAGTGACAGGTGGGACTGCACCCCTTTGCCTCCTTAGAAGCGGTCCCAGTGGACCGGAATGAGTCATGGGGAACACCAGCCCTGAAATCTCTGGGACCGTCCCGTGGGGGTGCCACCTGGGACATCGCCTCACCGGCCCCCTCGGGGGCAGCCAGCTGTCAGTCCACCTCTGCTGCGGAGTCACAGACTGCTCGGCTGGTGCCCTGCTGACTCGGCTTCTGGGAGCTGTTGCGAGCGTCCCAGGCAGGCCCTGCAGGCTGCTCCTGGTGCGTCTCCGCCGAGTGGCCTCGCTGTCCGGGTCACTCTATTTGGGTCCCGGTTTCTCGAATCCTCCTGAGTGTGGACATGAGCCGGTCACGGAAGGGACCTTCGACTTCCGCTCTGAGTCCGTGAAGTGCCGACGTGCAGGACCGTGGGCTTTCGGAAACATCTGAGCTCTTCTTCTCGGTGGGGGGCGCGGCGGCACCTCTGCAGCAGGCGCGGCCGCCCGGCCCTGAGCGCGGAGCTTCAGAGGCGCTCGGGCAGCGTCCTCCCTCTACTGCTCGCCGCTGCGCCATCGCCGTGTCCTCTGTCACCACGTTCCCCCTGCCTGCCAGGCCTGGTCTCCGCAGAGGTCCAGGCACCCGCCCCAGGCTTGGCGGCTGCTCAGCGGACCCGCGAAGAGGTAGGAAGCACGGGCCATGCCCAGCGAAACTCACGGTTGAAAATGGGAGGCAGCACATCTGTTGAGCCCTGCTCCAGGAGTGCAGATGCTGGGTCCCTGACCCCTCTCACCATGCACCGTCCCCGAAACCCCCACAGCCCTTACGTGGGCAGCTGTGGTGGCTGAATGGGCTGCAGTGGAACCCAGAGGCCAGCAGGAAGGAGTTCTGACCCAGCTCCTTGGCGCCGAGGGTCTGCTGTTTCTGGAAGAAGCCCCGCTCCACCCCACCCTGCCACGCCTGCTCCTAGAGGCGTCTGGACCCCGGGCCAGGACCTGGCACTTCCCAGACTCAGTCTGGGTGACCGCTAGTGGAGTTCCCTGTGAGGGAGCCGGTAGGAGGAGCTCACCTCATCCCCACCGAAAGCATCGGTCACCTTCCTGGTCGTGAGGTGCCACCTCACTCTGGGTAATGGACGGGAACACGGAGACGGCGGACGAGTGAGAATAAAAGGTGGCTTGGAAAATTTAGAATCTTTAAAAAAGCAAAACAACTGTTTTAGACGAAAGTAGCCATGACTAGTTTTTACTTCGGTCTGGCCTTGGAGAAGAAAGGTGCTTACAGGCCTCCCTTCTCGTTCAGCCTCTAAGCGGGGTGGAGGGGCCTGCAGGGCACTCGTAGGAAAGGCACATCTCGTAGGCCCGTGATGTCCCAGAAGCCCAGTCATGACGAGGAGCAGCTCGTTCTGAGCCCGGCTGCCCAGGGGCATCACCCCAGGGATTAAACGCACAGGTGTTGGGGTTCCTCCCCCGGAAATTCTGGGCCTGGCATCTGGATTTTAAAAGCTTCCTGGATGATTCTAATGTGCAATTAAATTGAGAACCACCGAGCTGGTTTAGCTGGTCAGCGTTTACTGATTTTTATGCTTCGCTCGAGGGCACAGCCAGTTTTCAGTCACTTCATAATGCAGCTGGATGTCTTCATTCCTGAATTCTCTTTATCCCTGTGCCTTCCAAACACAGGACACTGTTGTTGTTAAATTAGAGGATTTAAGTAAGTAGGAGAGGTGGTTCTTGTCTTCAAGAGCTTGTAAAAAGATAAAAGTAATACCGTAATAATTCTAATGGGAACCACTACAAGCTGAATGCCATTAAAGTGAATCATGCAAATTATGGTAATCGAGAGAAGGGGCAGATTGTGTTTAATTAGAGGGGCTCTGGAGAGGCTTCGAGAAGGGGGCATTTGAGCGGAGTCTGAGGGCTGGGCCTGCAGAGGTGGCAGGGACACAAGCTGGGGGTTGGGGGGCCTTAATGAGCAGAGACGGAAGTGGAGCGAAGGGCAGAAGTGTCAGGAGTCCGTCTGGGGCAGAGCCCAGCCTGGTGCTGGAGGCGGGGGGGACACACGGAGGAGGGCGTGGGGCCAGCGAGACCACAGTTTTGAATGCTCTTTAGCAGTGGGTTGGGAGTTGTTAAAAAGTCTTGTTCACTATGTTTGTCAAGCAGACGTAAATACATTTCGATGAAGTTCGAGGAATGACTCTCCTGTAACAGTATTGCCTGAATTGTGTGTGTATGTTGCAATTGGGCGTATATGTTATAATTTTTAAAAACTGCTCAGGCCCAACTAAAGTCACTGTTGGAAAGGGCAGGCAGCACATCTGCTGAGTCCCGCTGGGTGACCGGACAGGTAAGGGGTCTCTCCGGGAGTGCAGGCCCACGGCCCCTGCCCGTCACCACGCTCTGCCCCCGTGTCCTTTTAAATCAGGGAAGCATGTCGCACGTTAAATGTTACGTATATATAAGTTTTTATTCTTAATGTTGCATGAGTTCAGATGTCTGAGAAAGAGAAATAAATATTTCAAGATATCATTGATTTTTTTTCAACCCTTTTTAAAGTAGGTCTTTTACTCAGGTGGCATCCTGACTGGTCTAACACGTAGATAGATGAGAAGGTAGCTGGTCTCCGGCCGTGCCACCCTGAGCACGCCCGACCCCGTCTGATCTCGGAAGCTAAGCAGGGTCGGGCCTGGTTAGTACTTGGATGGGAGACCAGCCAGGAAGACCAGGTGCTGTAGGCGTAAAACATAAAAAATAATAAGGGATTGTAAGCTGACAAGTCCTGTCAGGTGCCGCTGAGGCCGCACAGGCTGCTGGGTGGGTTCTGGGTGAGGAGCCGAGCAGCCTGTGCGGGGAGTTCGGCAGAGGCGGAATTGCAGCAGTCACGAGGGAGCGGGGACGTGCCGACGGTTCCAAGACGCCTGCCATCCGTCCTTTGTCCCTGGCACCTGCCATCCGTCCTTTGTCCCTGGCAGTCAGGCAGCCGCCTCGGGCGCCCGAGGTTGGCCTCGCTTCCCGTAGGGCCACTGGGCGTGGACACAGCCCTCTCTTTGGGATGGTGGCTCTAACTCTTCTGGGTTGGGGTCTTTGGATTCAGTTCGAGAGTGGAAAAGCCTGAGTCCCTAAAACGAGAGCGTTTCAGGAGCAGAGCGCGGGGGTCAGCGCCTTGTCCAGAAGTGAGGTCCCGGCGGAGAATGCTCCGAGGGCTTTTCCTCTGCCTGCAGCGAACCCAGCACGTGGTAAAGTTACACAGGACGGCAGGCAGGTGGCACTGCGCCTCTGTCACACTGGGTCGAGAACGAGAATAGAGCCTCTAGCACGACATGCACTTAGCATTACCAGAATGGGAACTTTTGTTATTTTTAATGCCACGTTAGGTATTAATGAAATGCACTTATCACTAATACACACTTCACGTCTTTCTGACTCTGATTTGAGGTGATCGTCAGGTTAAGTGTAGTTTTGTGACGGTATGTGCTACGCTAACCTTTTATGAGCATGAAGACAGGACCTTTCTCTTTGCCACCAGGGAATGTTTGTGCAGCAGAGTAAAGCACTGTCGTGACTGTCGAGGGCCATCGAAAGCGCAGCCGCTGCCGATCTTAACGAGGCACAGTCGTGCCAGCCCTCCGGAGCTGCTCCCCTGGGAATGCCGCTCCTGCAGGCCTCCCCTGGCGTGGGACGTCCCCAGCCAGCCCCGAGCAAGCCGTCGCTCTCCCATCTTCAGAAGCCCTGTCCTGACCTCACTTCCTTCCCGTGCGTCCCTCCCGTCCTCTGTGCCCCTTGTATCTCCCGGCACGTCCCAGGCAGGACCCTCCCTCGGGGCCGTCCCCACACCGCTGCTGTGTGAGTAGCACGGCTCGCCCACCTGGTATCGGGACCTGCAGTCACATGCGACGCAGTCACCCGCTGCCCCCCTGAGCACACCATCCTGCTGCAGGACACCTGCCTTCACCATGTCCCCTCTGCCTGGCTGACGCTGCTCCCAGTGCCCCCGCCGCCTCTTCCAGAGGTGTCAGGTCCGTCCCCAGCCCCTTCCGCGTCCTTCGCGCCCTCGGTGTTACCCCGCGGTCCTCGGTAGCTCCAGGAGACCCGGCTGCAGGCCTGCCTGTCCAGCGGCCGCCCTCGTCCCCACTGGGCGGCCCGAGAGGCCCTCAGACCCACGTACCCGAGCCGAGTCCTTCATTGTCCTCTGCAGACCGTCCTGCCTGTGGTTAACGCAGCTCCGCCCTCCAGGTTTTAGGCCAAAACCTTTGGAGATTGTCGTCTCGGCCCCTTGTTCTCTCCGAGCTGCTCACCAGCCCGGCGGGCGAGTTCTGTTGGCTCCGCTGTCAGAGCGCCTGGAAGCCGGCCATGTCTCCCGACCCGACCCGCTGCGGTCCGGGTTCGAGCCGCTCGCTTCCTGCCGCGGGTTTTAAAGTCGCACCCTGAGCCGCTGTCCTCACTCCTGAGTTAGCGTCACGTGGCAGTCCCATCAGGCCTGTGACAGAAGCCCGCCAGAGCCCGCACAGCTCCCCCAGATGCCTGCCCGTCCTGTGGGGCCGCACAGCCCCCCAGGACCGGGGCGCTTCATCCTGGAGCCCCCCGCCCTCGTCGCCTCCTCTCTCCTTTTGCCCCCCCTCCCCGCTCCCCACACCTGCGTAGGCCTGTGCCCTGCTGCGCCCCTTTCTGGAAAACTCTCCAGGTGTCTGCCTGCGTCTCCTTCCCAGCCCGTCTCGAATGCCATCTGCAGACGGCTTCCTGGCAGCCTGGTGCGCCCGCATCCACGCCCTGGGCCTCGCACTCCATTTCCACGTTCCTCGTGTCCGGTCCCCTCCCGGTGCTGCTCACCCTGGTGGCCTGGCCCGGCCACGTTCCTGTTTGTGGGCTGCGGCTCCCCGTGTGTGGTTGGGGTCTGTGCCGACTGCCCGTGCGGCGAACAGGGCCGGCCCGTGGCGGGTCCCTGGGCGTACTGCGGAGCGAGCGTGCGAGGGCGCGCGTGCCCCTCCCGCTCATATGCGGGGCAGGGAGGGGGTGCTGCTGAGCCAGGTTTGGGCACCGGCAGCTGTGGGGGGTGTGGCCTAGAGGCCCCCTCCGTGCTGCCCTAAGGAGCAGGGGCTTGAATAATACCAAGTCTAGGATCTTAGTGGAAAGTAGTTCAGAAGATGGGTTCAGTAAATATTTGTTAAGCCGTTAAACATGGACTTCAAGATCTGAAGAGGTCGTGTTGACCTGCGCTTTACAAACAGTGAAATAAAGCGGTGTAGTTTGTCATTCCCTTGAAACCGACGTTCGGTAAACAGCGTTTCGATGCTTTCTCTGTGCCGAGTTCTGCTGGGAGCTTTTTCCATAGACTCTGCTGCTGTGATAATCTGCCTCATGAGTCTTTTCCTTTTCTGTAATTAAGGGGTTTTAGAATATTAAAAGTTCATTATTTGCAATATCTTGTTTAAAGACTGGCTTAGAATATTTACCTACTCTCCCGCGTGGAGCTTGGTTAAGCTGCTGGGCTAAGCATTCGTGTTTCTGAGGTATACGATAATTAAGCGTTGTTGTTTTACTTGAGATGTGGTGGAAAGAATAAACGTGTGCGTATTTTCACATATTTCTCTCTTTTCGGTTTTCGTTTTTCCCCCCACTCTGAAAGTGAAACAAACATAGGAATAATAAACCCAAGCCAGTGACATCTCTGAGCCCCATTTAAACCGTAGGTGCCACTGTCACTTGGGTCGAAAGTAGGACATTCAGGCAGCATTTTAATGCTCGCGGAACACGAGTTAGGACACCAGTGTCCTTTGCCGGTGAGCGAGCTCGCTGCCAAGGCAGGCCAGCCAGGGGCCGTGATGGGGGGGGCGTCCTCCCCTCCCCCGCTCCTCCGGGGCCACCGGCTGGCCGTCCCCCTGCCAAGGCAGACTCTCAGCCGCGTCCTCTTCCCCAGAGATAACTGGCATGTACGTCTGAGGACGAGGGCCGCGGTTCGTTCTGGAATTTATTTCTTGTGTGTTTGCGCACAGGGCTGGCGTAGGGGCCAGGAGGCCGTGAGGTGAGGGTACGTCCATCTCCTTTCTTTTCTTTGAGTAAAAGAACTTTTCCACTTAAGTTTGAGTGAGGTGAGGAAGTTTTTCCTTGGTTAGTTATTATGACACTTAATTTTTGATTTCCTGTTTGCAGCGTGTGCCCTGCCGGTGGTAAGAATGTGTCCATTCCCTTTCCCTCAAAGTAACTTTATTTATTCACTTCTTTTGGGTGCAGTGAATATTTCGTTAACCCTGTGTAGACTGTAGACTCAGTAACCCCCGAAGCAACTTTAAAGGTCACAGTGCTTCCT